CATTTATCATGTAATACCCCATTATCGTAAATGCAGCTTTGTCATCAAAACAGCTGCATTTACATTAATACAAAGTGAGTAAAGGAAAACGAATGGCGCGCTTTGTCTAGGAAATCTTCGTTCGTGATATAATTTACCGATTCCGGTGTCTAGTCCTGCTGCTCCGCGCATTGTTTTTTCGTCCGATGTGCCACTGGACGCAGCTGATAAAATGGACTTGGAATCGTCCTGCAGCTGGGTCTCCAGCTTCGAATGTAGAGAGCGTTCGATTGCGGTTCCAGCCATCTTCGAGCTTGTGGTTATCGGAGTCCGGAATGACGGAGGAGTCTGAAACTAGTAATAGATCTGGAAGAAAAAACATCGAAAAAGTGAAGCAACAAGCAGTTTTTTGAATGAAAATAAGAGTTTCGTTAAATTCGTGGATTTTTAACGAAGAGTTAAAAACTGAATTATCCAAACGAACTAGTCCAAGAACTATAAAAATTAGCATAAAATCCAAGCACTAAAAATTAGCTTACGACTACACTTCGCTTCATGGATAGTTAGTCCACAGCCAACTTATTTTTCGCAGTGGGAGTGGTATTCCATGTCTCGCTTGTATTAAACAACTGGTAATACAATGGGATTCGAAAATGTTCCTTTTGTATCTTTGAAAAAATTAGGTTTTTAAGTAAAATTAATTTTTTATATGTTATATAAAAGGCCACAACAGAGAATGTGCCAGTTTTAGCCACGAAGCGATATGCTCTAGCAGTGCTGAACTTTCAAAGAACTGTAAGTTTTATGAGTTTTCATCGACGCTGAGACTAAGCAGAAAGAAAAACCCGAAAAAGTAAGGTCCAGTCATCAAAAGATATTTTCTGCCAACTGTTAAATTTAAAATGCACTACTTACAATTTTCCCACACTCTTGAGCACACTGTTTTCTGCTTTGCTTAGTGTTTTCTGACGTCCATGAATCATACAAAATTAGATGTTCTACTATATTATTGTTTTAAATTCTAGAAACAAGGGACAGACCTGAACTGATCTGCCGGCTGAACGCCTCACATCAGCATTTCTAACGGATTCATTGGAGCCGGTTTCTTTTGTTTTTATCGGCTTCGCGCTTCGTTCGTCTTCCACTAAAAAGAATTCGGGCAAAATATTAAAAAAATGTGCAATATTGATGTCACTGAGTTCAAAAATCTGGACACAATTATTTCCAAAGACATAACCACCATTTTTTGCTTTGGTGGGGGACTGGGGAAGGGAGGAAGAGAAGCATTTCACAAAGAGCAAAAACACTTGTCCAAGAAACCCAATCGAGTAG